CAAGTCAGTTCTGATTCCTTAGATTCTATGGGACAGAGCTGAGCAGCCCTTTGGGGTTTCCACATCTTGACACAAGCAGAATTTCTTGCTTTCTCCACTGGAACAGCTGGTGGCCGCAGGAAGTGAGGCAGAAGTGAATATCGCTTCCAGGCCTGGCCCCGCAAACCTGCCACGCATGGTTCTCCAAGCTCTCCCCCTTTGTGTGGCAACCGTGGCAGCCACGTCCTGCAGAGTCAGTCTACAGATGAAAGGAGTCCTCCTTCCCATCAAAGAGCCGCTCATGGGCCAGAAACACCCTTGTTGGTTTGGGTGATTCTGTTCCACTGGAAGGTTTGGGCTAGAGCGTGATGAGGTCTCAGGTGGTAAGAGAATGGTGTTATGATGAAAGCAGGGAAGGTCTAAAACATCAATGCCCGCTTAGGAGGCATTTACAATAATCCAGGTGAGTGCTGGTGATGGCGTGGTTCAAGGTGCTGGTTCAGGTTCGGAAGTAGAAGCCGTCTGATTCTGAACCTACCTTGAGAGTAGAGTTGAATTTCCCAAGGGGTCAGCAATGGGGTGGGAGAGGAGAAAATAGTCAAGGATACTGCCAAGGTTTTGAGCAACTAGAGGACAGAGCTGGGGAAGATGGAGGAAGAACAGACGAGGAAGACTGTAGGAGCCTGTTTTGAGGATAATAGTGAGATAGTAGTTGGGGACATGCTGAGATGTCGATTAGACAAACCAATGGAGAGGAACGGTTGGAGAAACAGTTGGTTATGTCTCTCTGAAGGTTGGAGAGATCTGGGACAGTGATCGAACTCTGGGATCTACTGGTGTGTATGGGGCATGGAAGCCATGCATTGGATGCAAAGAAATCCAAGGATTGAGACCAGGAGTGTCCTCAGGAATCAGCCAAGGGAAAGTCAGGGAGGGGAGAGGACAGCCAGGAGGCTGTGAGGTCCTGGAAGCCAAGTGAAGGAGGTGTTCCAGAGAGAAGGGAGTGGCCAGGTAGGTCACACGGAGACGGAGAATGCGACGGGCTGGTCATTGGCTTTAGTAATGTGGGGAACTTTGGTAATTTGGGGAGGCTCAAGAGGGAATGGGCAGCAGCCCTCATGGTGTAGTGGTTGCTAATTTGGCTGTGTGGCAGTTACATAATCTCTTGTCAACTTGCGAAGGGGTGGAATCTAGCCTGTCAATCAGGCCATAGCCAAAGAGGCCTCCATGTGGGCATGGCCTTCTCCTGAGGATTCTGGGAACTCCTGTAGTCCTCCCCGGAGGTGAGACACATACTCTCTGCTTCCTGCTGGCAAAACACATGGAGCTACGCCCTGGAGCTGGAGGAGCCACATGGAGACCCACGCCAGCAGTGAGATGCTTCCACTGCCACTGGATCCACAAGACTTTCCGCCCACTGGCCTGCGATCTTACTGCATTTGATGTCATTGTATGTGTTGCATGAGTCTGAAGAGAACTTTATAGATTGGTATTGAGCATATGGGCTAATATCAGACTTATGGCCTTGTTCTGGACTGAGCTGGGATATTTTCTTAATGTACACTGCTTTTTGATATAAAGTTTTCTCATACACGTGTCTATGAATTTGTTTCTCTAGTCTACCTGGACTAGCACAGTTTGCTAACTGCAAGGTCAGCAGTTTGAAACCATCAGTTACTCCAAGGGAGAAAGACAAGGCTTTCTACTCCCATAAAGAGTTACAGCCATATGGGCAGTTCCACCCTGTCCTCTAGGGTCGCTATGAGTCGCTTGGTGGCAGTGAGTTTGGTGGTTTGGGAAGAGAGAATGAGAGGCAACAAATCAGAACCCCCTTCAAGGACTTTATTACAAAGGGTGGAACCCCACTGCTTGCCTTTCTGTTTGAAGCCCAGCGCTCACTGGTGTTGGCAGGCCACCTTCTAGGCTATTTAAATCAAAGCAAGACATCCATAAACCTCTCTAGTTGGAGACCAGACAGTGGTCATAGTCTGTTTTTTTACTGAATGTGAAATACTGTCCATTTTAAAGAGGCAGGTCACAAGCTCCTCTGATTCACAAATAATTTGTCAGCCTCTGATGCAACTAGACTTGGAGCCTGCGTCTTCTCTCTTTGGAATCAATGATTTAGCCAGTGCTACAGAGCCCAGGTAGTGTAACATTGGGCTGCTCACCACAAAGTCAGCAGTTCGAAACCACCAGCCTCTCCTTGGGAGAAAGATGAGGCTTTCTACTCCTGTAAAGAGTTACAGTCTTGGAAATACTGGGGGGTGGGGGGAGGATGCAATTCTACTATGGTGGAATACTGGAGGTGCCCTTGGTTAGCACTGGAGGGCTAATCTGAAGGGTGGTGATTTGAATCTGCCAGCCCCTCCCTGGGAGAAAAATGTGGCAGTCTGTTTCCATAAGGATTTCCATCCTTGAAAACCCTTCGGGGAAATGCAAGGGTTGCTATGAATTGGAACCAACAAGATAGCAATGGGGTTGTGTGTGTGTGTGTGTGTGTGTGTGAACGAACAAAGTATGGAGGTGCCCCGGGGGCTTCCAGGTTCAGCTGCACATGGAAAGGTCAGTGGTTTGAACCTAGTCAGTGTCCCATAGCAGAAAGTCCAGCCATCAGCTTTCCCAAAGACTGCAGTCCACGAATGCTCTGAGGCAGGTCTACTGCATCCGTCGAGATCGTTACGGGAGGGATTGACACGATGGCCAGGGGGCTGGTGGGGTTTCTTTGTACAAGGTGTTTCAACAGTTCAAGGGGGCGGGTGTTGCCCATAACAGGAACTAAGCCAAGCATTTGTAGGATTGAGAAAGTAGGCAAGCTTCGAAAACTGGCTCCCCAAAGAGAAATTCATCCCACCTCCCAAGCTTTGTCTTATTGCTTCCCAAGGACATTTCTCCTCTCCCTCCCACCTCAAGTCATCTGGGGATACCAACGCTAACCCACCACATCCAAGTCAGCAAAAGTGGGGGGGCGTGGAAGGGGTGTGGGGGTGCTGAGGAGGACGTTTGAGGGGAAGCCCCTGGCTGGGAGGATTTGTGGCCTCTCCCCCTAGTCCGGAGTGGCTTGAGCAGCAAAGAAAAACAAACTCTTGGCTTTGGTCTATGGCTTTACTCGTCCGCCTTAATTGAGATAAATAGCGGCTTGGTGAGGCCATGCTCAGCAGTGGATCTCGTCTATCGATCTCTCCATCTCTCCCAAGTCTCTTCTCTTGTTTTGTTTTTCTTTTCTTTTTTTCTGTTACCACTTTTGGCATCTTGCCACTGACCTCCTCCCTCTACCTTCCCCGGCACCACCACTGGCTCTGCTGGCGGCAGCCTTGCCTTCTCTCCGCTCTGAGTTCTGAGTTCGAGGCTTCCCAGGGCCGGCCCGGAGATAGAGTTGGCGGTGGGGTGGGGTGATGTGTGACGTGAGGACGTGTAGCTCCGTGCCGCTGGAATACGCCTTGGAGCCACGAGGCATGCTTCTAGATGGTTCTCCGAGGCAAGGAGGGGGTCTTGCTTTTCCTTAGTTGCAGCTCTCTCCCCTCCTGGAGGGGGGTCCCTCCCTCCGAAAGCCGAATGTCGCAGAGTGGTGTCCAAGGCTGCATGCGTTCTCCCCTGAGGTGAAAGGATGGCTCAGATGGACTTTCCTGTGGGTCAAGGGAGAAAAATGTCCAAAACACCAAACCCATTGCATGCTTTTGCGCAAGTCCCTGTGACCTTAGAGGTCAACGTAGTACTGTCCCCCCTACCCCCACCCCCGGGTGTTTCCAAGGTGGTCATCTTTAAGAAAGCAGTCTGCTACCTCTTTCTGTGTAGCTGAAAGTAGCATAACCCATCCCACAGCGTCTGATGGGTTTAAGTTTCAACTGCTGACCTTGCAGTTCGCAGCCTAGCACTCCAACCAGTGTGCCACTGCTCACATCACCACACCCACTGCCATCGGGTTCATTCCAACTCAGCACAGGGTAGGCCTGCGCCTGTGGGTTTCTGAGACTGTAGCAACTTCAAGGGAGGAGAAACCCTGGCCTTTCTCCCTTGGGGTGGCCGGTGGTTTTCGAACTGCTGACCTTGTGGTTAGCAGCCCAACGCATAACCACCAGGGTCCTCCCAAAAGTGTTCAACAGGACGTAAATCACCTCAAAAGCTCTTCTGCGGGCCCAGAGAGACTGTTATGTTTTTAAATTGTCCACTACTAAGAACAGGTAACTTACAAGAACAAGTGGTTGATCAATAGCGTTTACTTTAGAAACAGAAAGCACCCCTCCAGGACTCAGAGCACAATTCAACTCCAATGTGTGTGGGGCTGTCATGAGTTGGAATTGACTAGAGGTCAACTGGTGGCTACTATCTTTCGGGATCTACCCATGGTCAGTCAGGCACATAGGAAGAATTTAGCAAATACATGTTGGATGGATGGATGGATGGATGGATGGATGGATGGATGGATGGATGGATGGAAGGAAGGAAGGAAGAATGGATGGAAGGAAGGAAGGATGGATGGATGGATGGATGGATGGATGGATAGATGGATGGAAGGGAGGAAGGAAGGATGGATGGATGGATCTTGGGACATGAGGGGATAAGGATTTGGGCCCCAAGGAAATTGGGGCCCATTTCAGCTCTCCCAGGCTAGTTCCTTCGAATTCTGCACCCTGCAAAGAGGAAGGCTCCCTAGGAGCTCAAGGAAGAGGAGATCCATCTGCCCACCCCACGAGGAGGGAGATCTCAGGAGCCCCTGAAGGAGCCCTCTGTCACCTCCCCACACAGCAGGGAGAAAGCAGCCATCACAGTGACAGCCCCCACCCCCACCCCAAGTCTCTACCCCTTCAGAGGTACTTGCAGGAGCTCCCAAGAGGCTCTGGAGGCGCCACACCTCAGGGTTTCCTTCAGCCAGTCGGAAAGAGGACAGAGGAACCAGGACAGGCAGCAGGAGGAGTGCGGTGGCTATGGCTGGGGGCCACTGCAGCAACCAGGAGTCAGAATCTGGGAGTTAGCCCTAGGACCCCAGGACCCCAAGCCAGGCCTGCGGTGGCACCCCAGGGCTACCCCATCACCGCACCTATGGGTGGGGCCAGCTTCGGCCCGGTGTAGGCTGCCAGCGTGCTGAGGAGCGAGAGGGGCTGCAGCCCCGAGGGGTTCTCCCGCTCCCACTCCCCGAAGGTGAAGGCGTCCCTCCAGCTGAGGTCTCGGGTGCAAGGGATGCTCTCTTCACCGGCAGAGTCTTTCTCTAGGTCAAGAAAAACCATGTGTTAGTTCCCTCCTTCAGCCCACCGAGCGCCTGCAGGCAACGGCCCACGCTCACGGGGTGCTTATGATGGGCTGGCTTATGGTGCCCTCTGGCCCTCACAGTAGCCCCAGCACCTGGTCACCATGGAGACCCCAACAAAAAGCCAAACTCACTGCCATGGAGTCAGTTCTGACGCATAGCAATCCTACAGGACAAGAAGAAAGTGCCCTTGTGGGTTCCCAAGACTGTAACTCTGTATAGGAGTAGAAAACCTTGTCTTTCCTCCTGGAACCGCTGGTGGTTTCAAACTGCTGACCTTGTGATTAGTAGCCCTATGCGTAACCATTATGCCACCAGGCCTCTTCATGGAGGTCCAAGCAAGGCTAAATAACTCAGCCATGGCCACAGGAGGAGGCAGCAGAACCACTATTCAAACCCAGAGCCCATGTGCTCTACCGCTACTTCCGGGGAGTAGGCAGTGCCAGGAAAAGGAGGGGGCTTGGACCTGTCAGGTTTAGTGAGTGAATTCCCCCAGAATAATCTGCTAGCTCAATGGGCCTTGACCTCAGATGGCTTTGTCCCTCTTGCACTTGACCCCAGCTACCAAAAGCCCAACACTTTGATTTGACCTGGAAGCTGCTAGCAACACAGACCCACTGAGCAGAATCTACATTTTAACAAGATCCCCTCTGGGGAACACCAGAATTGCCCACCCCCACCCCCTATGGTGAGTTGGGCATTTCAGCCTAAAGGTAAGCTTTGGGCTCGTGGTTTTTCCAATAGGCAGAGAGAGGTGGCCCTCTCTCTTCTTTAAGGCAAGCGGTTCAGAAAGGCTGTACTTCCTGGCCTGTACTTCTTCAGCCCCCAAGGGAAGAGAAGGTTCCACAAACGAGAAACATCTGGGGGTGGTCACTCTGCGGATGTCACAGAGCTCATGCCTCTGCGATTGTGGCTGTTCTCAGCAGTCTCAGGAACAAGTGTGAAATGCTGTCTCTCTGTTTTTCTCAACCCTCACCTTTTGGGGGTACAAGTGGGGGGCGGTAATTGTAAATATGTCAAAACAGAGACATTCACCACCCCTGTATTCATAGTCACTCGGGATGAGACAAGACTTGGGAAAAACATGGGTTTGCACCAGCTGTCCTTACCACTCAGAAACAGGGGGTGTGAGGGGAGCTTCCTGGCTCAATTTGGCCTGAAGAGATGTTGTGGGTGCCCAGCCAGGCCTATAAACCTGCTGCTGCTGCTGCATAAATCCTGACTCATGGGGCCCCCTGAAACTCAAAACCCACTGCCATCGAGACAATGCTGCCTCATGGGGCCCCCTGAAACTCAGAACTCACAATGCTGACTCCTAGGGAGCCCCTGTGGGTTTCCTGGGCTGTAACTGTTTACAGGAGTAGAAAGTCCAGTCTTCCTCCCTCAGTGCAGCTACTGGTTTTGAACTGTCAACCATATGGATCACATCCCAACATGTAACCGCCACACCACCAGGGCTCCATACAGTAAGCTGCTCCAGGGAGTTGCTTAGGCTATGAGCATCCTGATAGCAGGAGGCCTCATCTCTACCTTCTGGAAAGATGATGGGTTTGAATGGTTAGTGGCTGAGCACTTCACATCTGTAAGGCCAGGGCTCTTGGCAGGCCCATCGTCCAACCAACCCACTGCTAGTGTGTCAATGTTGACCCACAGTCACCCTGTGTAGGGTTTCCCAGACATAAATTACAGGAGGGCAGCCTCACTTCCCCCCTGAGGAGAGGCTCATGGGTTTGAACCGTCAAATTTAGAGTTAGCGGCCCACTGCCTAAGCCCCAGTACCACAGTACTTGGGCTGTAATGAACCCTAATTTGGGGAGTTGGTAGAAAGGTATATTACCAAAATGTCCAGATTTTTGGCTTCTGTTGAAAACTTAAGAGTGTTTGACAACGTGGGGTCTACCCTGCAACACGGCTGACATAAAGAGCCAGGTCTGCACCTGAGCACAGCCGATGACGCCAGGTGACCAGGCCTCTGGCTCAGCGCAGCTGACAGTTCCTAGGCCCCCGCTGAGTAGCCTTTACTTCCTTGTTGCCATTATGACTACCACTGCCTATAGTCCCCCAGTACTGAAACCAAGTGTCGGCTGCCAGCTGCGGCTTTACTTGTGACAGAGCGGAAGTTAATGATGTCCTCTGAAGGAGCCCCAGTGGTTACACATTGGGCTGCTAACTACAAGGTCAGCATCTCAAAACCAGCAGCTGTTCCTCGGGGGGGAAGATGGGGCTTCCTACTCCTCTACAGAGTTACAGTGTCAGAAGCTCACAGGGGGCAGGTCTACCCTGTCTTAGAGGGTCACTGTGAGTCAGCATCAAGCCAATGGCTGTGTTTGGTTATATCCATCTTAGCACCCCGGGTGGCCCCATGGTGAAGCACCTGACAGCCAGTGGAAAAGTTCATTTAAGCCCACCAGCCATGCCAATGCACCCGTTGGAACTCCCTGGAGAAAGATGAAGCTAGCTGTTTCTGTAAATAGTTACAGCCCTGGGAACCATTTGGGGCAGTCCTGTCAGGTCACTGTGAATCAGAATCCACTCAACAGCAATGGGTTTTCTTTGTTGGTAGGTTGGCTGGCTGGCTGGTTACATCCATGTCCCCCAGCGCCTTTACTATTGAGAGCTCCTGCAAGCATTGGGCAGGTCATCTCTGGTGGGGAGGACATGTTGGCAGAAACCCCATGATTTTTCCCCTTGGGGGGTCTATATACTCCTTTACATTTTGCACTAGTGATGATATTCTTCTGGCTGCCTCCTGAGCCAGTTCCAGTAAATGAGCTCCTGCCGTGTTCCCAGTCCTTAGTGGATAACATTCAGGGGCATGGATAACAAAGAAAAAGCAATCTTGGTCGAATAAGCAAGATGTAGACAGCAAGAAAGGTATGTGTTGTCATGTGAGCGCTGTAGGAGAGCTTATGATGGAGGAAAGATTCGTCTGGGGAGGGAGAGAGGGGAGGGGAACCGGAAGGAGAGGTAGAGTTTAGAATGGAGGATGATCATGGGGAGGACTGGAAGGGAAGGGAAGATGGCTAAGACTGGGCTGGAGTGAAGGCTCTGGTCTGGAAATGAAGAGGGACTCATGATCAGGTGAGGTTGTAAGTGGGAGGACGTTTACACAGACCCACGTATGCCAACGGCTGTAGGTTTGGGGTGGACCGTCGTTGCTAGGTGCTATCGAGTTTGCTCCACCTCCCAGCGACTCTGCAACAGAAGGAACCACACACAGGCCAGTCCTGTTCCATCCTCACAATTGTTGGTACGTTTGAGCCCCTCTTGGCAGCCACTGTGTTGCTCCATCTTGTCCAGGGTCATCTTCTTCTTCTCCGCCCTTCTACTGTACCAAGCATGATGTTCTTTTCCAGAGACTGGTCGCTCCTGATAGCCTGTCCAAAGTATGTGAGACGAAGCCTCTCCAGGTTTGCGTCTAAGGAACATTCTGGCTATCCTTCTTCCAAGATCGATTTGTTGTTTCCTTGTTTTCTGTTGTGCTTTGTCGGCAGGCCACGGTCTGTTCAACATCCTTCCCCGGCCTCACCTTTCAGATGCTTCCATTCGCCTTTGGTCTTCCTTCCTCAAGGTCCAACATCCACATGCAGATGATGTGATTGCAAATACTGTGGGTTGGGTCAGACACCCCTTAGTCCTAAAAGTGACATACTTGCTTTTCAAAACTTTCAAGAGGTCTCAGGCAGCAGATTGACTCAATACAGTGTGTCCTTTGACCTCTTGACGGTAGCTTCCGTGGACATGGACCGTGGATCCAAGCAAGATGAAACCCTCGGTAAGTCCAACCTGCTCTCTGTTTATCACGATGTGATCTACTGGGCTCGTTGTGAGCAATTGGGTTTTCTTTACAGTAAACTGTCATCCATACTGACAGCTGCAATCCTTGATCTGCATAAGCCAGTGCTTCAAGTCCGCCCTCCTCACTTTCAACAAACAAGGTTGTGCCATCTGCATACTGCAGGCTGTTAATAAGCTTTCCTCCAACCCTGATGCCACATTCTTCTTCATATAATCCAGCTTCTCTGAGGATGTGCTCAGCACACAGATGGAATCAAGAGGATACAACCACGATGACATACACCTTTCTTGATTTTAAATCATACAGTATTCCCTTGTTCTGATTGTCTCTTGATCCATGTACATGTTCCACATGACCACAATTACTCACTGAAAACTCATTGCCACTGATTCGATTCTGATCTATGGGATTCTACCCTGTAGAACTCTCTCCTGTGGGTTTCTGAGACTGTAACTCTACAGGAGTAGAAAGCCTTGTCTTTCTCCTGCAGAGTGCCTGGTAGTTTCTTGTGATCAGCAGCCCAATGTGTAACCAGTACACCACCAGGGCTCCTTGAGCACAATGAAGTGTTCTAGAATTCCCACTCTCCTCAAAGCTACCCATAGGTTGTTATGATCCACAGTCAAATGCTTTTGCATAGTCAATAAAACACACACACACACACACACACAAACTCACACAAATAAGCCTCTTCCTGGTATCCTCTGCTTTCAGCCAAGATCCATCTGACAGCAACAAAGATATCCCTGTACCACATTCTCTTCTGAATCCAGCCTGAATTTCTGGCAGCTCCCTATCAATGTACTATTGCAACCATTGTTGAACGATCTTCAGCAAAATTTTACTTGCATATGCTATTAATGATATTGTTCTATAATTTGCATCCTGTTGGGTCATCTTTCTTTGGACTAGGTACAAATATGGATCTCTTCCGGTCAGTTGGCTAGGTAGCTGTCTTCCATATTTCTTGGCATAAATGAGTGAGTACGTCCAGTGCTTGTTAAAACATTTCTATTGATATTTTGTCCATTTCTGGAGCCTTAGTATTTGCGAATGCCTTCAGCACAGCTTGGACTTCTGCCAGTAGAAGCACCATTGGTTCTTGATCATATGCTGCTTCTTGAAATGGATGAATGTTGACTAATTCTTTTTGGTGCCATGACTCTGTGTATTCCTTCCATCTTCCTTTGTTGCTTCCTGTGTTAGTAGGTATTTCGCACATAGAATTTCTCAGTATAGCAAGTTGACACTAGAAATCACTTTGTGGACCGAGAGTCACCCGAACAAAGCCATCGTATTTTCAATGGACTCATACGGATGTGAAAGCTAGACCATGAAGAAGGAAGACCACAGAAGAGCTGATACAGTTGAGTCGTGTTTGCTGGGGAAGAATATTGAAAGTACTGTGGACTTTCTGAAGGACAAACCAATCTGTCTTGGGAGAAGTTCAGCCAGAATGCTCCTTAGAAGGGAGAATGGTGAGACTTTGTCCCAGTATTTTGAACTTGCTGTCAGGAGAGACCAATCCCTGGAAACGCACATCATACTTAGTGAAGCAGGCCGTCGAAAAAGAAGGCGGCCCTCACGGAGAGGGCGTGGACTAGTGGCTGCACCAATGGGGTCCAACCTATCACCAGCGACGAGCATGGGGCAGGATCAGGCCGTGTTTCTTTCTGTTGTCCACCGGGTTGCTCTGAGTTAGAACCAACGCGACAGCACTTAACAACAACAGAACCGAGAACTAGAGATCCAGCCGCTGTTTCTGGGAGGCCGATGCTCCCTCACCCCAACTCTGTCTCCACTTCCCAGAAAGTCCTGCTGCACTAACTCAGGCCACCTCCTTCATTCTCATCCTCCCTGTCCACGCAGACACCAGGTCTTCCAGATAACTTCCTGGGCGAAATGAAGCCCCCTTTCTTTTTTGCTCCTTTGCCCCCGACCCCCATCCTTCAGATGTGAGCTTTGGATGCTTCCATGAGACCCAGCTGACTTGACCAAATCATAAGCGCCTCAAAGGAGGGGTTGTGACTTTCCTCACCTTCACCTCAAGTCCCCCTCAAAGCTGTGGGAAATTACCAAGAGCCCCTCCCTGCTTGTGAATGGAGCGATGCGTGAGCGAGTTGTAGTCTGGGAGTGAGGCGATAAAGGCCTGGACCAGGGAAGGATCTATAGGCATATAAATGAGTGTAAGAAAGGGGGAGGGAGCACTAGAACTGAGTGTGATTACCCAACTCATTTGAAAGGTGATTTAACCAGGGGGCGGGGGTGAAGGGGGGAGGTTCTGAAATTGATTGTGGTAATGATTATAGCATTCTTTTTGAGATGGTCGAATTATTGAATTGATTGATATGTGGAGTATGTGCCAATAAAACTGTAAAAAAGGAATGTAAGATGCCTCTCAAAAAGACATTAAGAGGACTTGGTATCTAATTGACTCTGGTGACCAAAGAACTTAGAGGAATGCAAATTAAAGCATGCAGCGCCCAGGGCCACCCTGACACCCGATTCTCTGTCGGGCTGTACAGCTGGAGGGACTCTTCTGTCTATACAGGTAGAGCAGAACATTCTGGAGACAGGGTGCCCAGGGCCCTCCTTTACCTGAGCTGTGCTTGTTGGTCTCCATTTTTTTACTGCTCCTGCAACACCAGCCATTCAGGTT